ATGCACTCATGATTTTGTCAACAAATTGGCTTCAGACAAAATTTTCAAAAATTTCCGGAAATATTTTATGCACTAGTTATATTTCTACTGGAAATTTCCCTTGTGCATATTTAACTGGAAATTTACCTCGTAATTTTCAAAAATTGACAAGTGGAAATATCCCTGGTGAGAGGGATATTTCCGGGTGCAATTTCCAATGCGACAATGCCGCGCGACGTCCGTCGGAAACCCACCTTTAGGTTGTCATTTTTGGCATTGAGACCAGCTTTTCCATTTAAAACGCATTGATGTCAGAAATCTGTCAAAGTGTATATTTTTTTGACAAACGCCATTTAAATGGGAAAGATCAATAACAATCACCATCACAGAACACATCATCATAATAAAATATTCGACACAACTTAAAGTAAATAAACTTCAAACTCGGGAAATTTCCTATCAAAATATAACACGTGCATAAAATATTTCCTAAGGGAAATTTTTAAAAATTTGGTCTTTAGTCAATTTTTTTAAACAAAACCATTTGTGCATAGCGCCAAAGAAAAAATCCCTCACCCTTCGGGTTCGGGATTTTTTCAGGCGTTATGCACTCATGATTTTGTTAAAAAATTGGCTTCAGACAAAATTTTCAAAAATTTCCGGAAATATTTTATGCACTAGTTATATTACTACTGGAAATTTCCCGAGTTTGAAGTTCATTTACTACGTTGTGTCGAATTTTTTTATTAATGCTGATTGTTATTGATCTTTCCCATTTAAATTGCGTTTGTCAAAAATATACATTTTGACAGATTTCTGACATTAATGCGTTTTCGGCGCTATGCACGAAAAATTGTCTAAAGACGAAATTTTTTAAAATTTCCCTTTGGAAATATTTTATGCACGAGTTAGATTTTGATAAGAAATTTCCCGAGTTCGAAGTCTATTTACTATTGTCCGTCGTTTTTAATCTGACACTCTCCGTATGAGGAGCGAGGGGGTGAAGCTTATGGCAAAAATAGGTGACGTTAGGTGACCATTGGCGTTCTAATGTAGGGAGCCACTAGCTCACATTCTTTTGGAGTATCAGATTAAAATCGACGGACTTTACGTCGTGTCGGATTTTTTTGTTGATGGTGATTGTTATCGATCTCTCCCATTTAAATTGCGTTTGTCAAAAAATATACACTTTGACAGATTTCTGACATCAATGGGTTTTATATGGAAAAGCGAGCCTCAATGCCAAAAATTACAATTCTGGAAATTTTCGGATATTTCCAAAAATGTCCACTTATTAATTTTGACAATTTGTATGCAAAATTTTCGAATGTAATACCACAAGAGGTTTCGGGATTACCGGATAATACTTTTAACTGTCACGAAACGCGTTACACAGCAACACCACGACTCCGAAGGAGGAGTGGTGTTACTGGTAACGCGTTGAGTGTCAGGTAAAAGTATTAGGTAATCCTGAAACATCGAGTGGTATTCAAAAGGTTATACAACGTACTAAACTTTAATACCTTATTAATTTTTAATTTTTTTTCTATAATAGAATTTACTATAAATATTGCCACCAAGCGCTATAATCCCAAGAGGCTTTTCACTTATTAAGCCTTTCCTGTCATATGGGAATCATGTACAGTGAGTTGTATACCCAGTGTAATTTGCACAAGGAAAATTTCCTATCAAAAAATAACACGTGCATAAAATATTTCCCAAGTTTTTTGAACAAGACCATTCGTGCATAGCACTCATGATTTTGTTAAAAAATCATCTTCAGACAAATTTTTCCCGGTAGTACATAGTCCAAATTTTGATTATCATTGGTTAGCGACTCTTGATTGCATAAATGCCTCCAGAGCAATTTTCCAGAAAATCGAGAGACGATGATAATCAGATTTTGGATTATTATTGGCTCTTGATTGCCTGCAAAAAATATCTAAGGAATAGAAAGCCGGTAATAGTCCGACTTTTGATTATGGTTGGTCAGATGATTTTTCAGTCAATACAACTAATTAAAGCCAGTGCTAATTACAATTTTCATTATTATTGCCTCTTGATTTGCACTAGAAAGCTGGCAATAGTCCAAATTTTGCTCATCATTGGTTAGATTATTTTTCAGTCAATTTAACTAACTAAAAGCCAGTAATAATTTGTCGGCTCTTGATCGTCCGAGGAAAAATTTCTGAGAAAGCCGGTATTCAAATTTAGATTATTATTGGCTATTGGATTGGTTAGATGATTTTTTTGGTCAATCCAACTAATCAAAAGCCAATAATAATCAAAGTTTTCATTATTATTGGCTCTTGATTTCCTCTACAACAATGGTCAATGATTCAGTGAATCAAAAACCGCAAAATTTGGATTATTACCGGCTTTTGATTGCCTCTACTCTAGAGCAATTTTCTAGCAAATCGAGAGACTGTAGTAATCAAATTTGGGTCTTTACTGGCTCTTGATTGCCACTAAAGAAATTTTCCAGCATAATCTAGAGCCAGTGATATCCTAAATTTTGAATGTTACCGACTGTGATTTCTGAGCATAAAGACAGCCGATAATAGTCCAAATTTTGATTATCCAAAGTCAGTAATAATTAAAATTTGTATTATTAGATGCCGGCTCTTGATTTCCGCGGCAACAAATAATGGCAGCAAATATCCAGTTAAGTTCCCCGAAATTTTGTAAAGGACGCGAGTGAACTTGGAGTTCTTTGAATTTTGGCGGTAAATGTCAATAGTTTTAAACCGTTTTAATAAGTAGAAGGAAAGATTACATATGAACAATGAATAGTGAATAAGTTAAAATATCTTCCAAAACGTTCAGTGGTCCGTAAAGATTATTTTCAAAAGTGTCAGCGTCAGCTTGTCTTGAAACCACACATCAAACTTGACTTTTGAGGTAAAACTTCATTCGATTATTTACGCGCCAAAATTTAAAAAGCTCCAAGTACAGAAGCGCCCTCTTCAACTCAACTGTCGATGTTACATGCCATTGAAAGGAATTCGTGAAATCAAAATTTCGAGTATTACTGACTCCTTGTTATCATTGGCTTCTTACTTACTGACTGCGGTACCTACTCTTTTGTTACAGTTGGGTCAATTTGTTCAATTTATAGGAAAGTCGCAGTCGAAAAAATCTTACTTTGAACTTCGAACGGATATTAGGAGATTCCTATAGGCAAAATCCATAGAAAAAAATAAACAGATTGCTTACTTCCATGTTTATGTCGATACCTCATTTTAATTGACTCGAATCAAACGACAAATCTCAAATTTCAATCTCCAGCTTCGCATAAGCGATCTTCGAATTTTACAAGAAAATAAGCTTTATACTTTGTGCTTAATTCAAATTAAAGTGAAAGAAGATTTCAAAATAGGAAAAAATCAATTGCAAAATAACATTGAAAAATGTTCTAAAGAAAAGTTTAGGCATACAAGGAAGCACATGAAAGTTAAAAGTGTTATATACCATTTTTGTTAATTCATATTGCTTTAATTTAAAGGACGTCATATTATCCCAAGTATAGTTCAATTTTTTTATTACGCAGGCATCATAATCAAGGATTATCGCACGCTGCAGCGTGCATAAAACGATGTTTATGATGCGCCTACTTTTTCATAATACAGGGTGTTCCACTAAGGTCGGGTCGGCCAGGTACGTTATTATGGAAACCATAGACCCTACGTAACTTGGAAACGAATGCAGATATTGAATTGCGGTTTGCGCCAAAATGTAGATATTTTTTTGCTCTTCAAGCACAGCAATAAAAAAAATAATATCCTGCCATTTGGATTTTTCATGAAAATTAGAAAAAACTGGATCCTGGACAAACAGCGCCCTCTAGAAGACGCGGTGGGAACTATTGACCCCGAACGAAGTGGTTTTCTTAATAACAATGAAATTCTCTTCCAAATAAGCCCAAATTGAATGAGTTTGGATGAAGGGTATGGAAGATACAGCAATTTCTAAAACATTTTTTTCACCAGCTTCCCCCACCCTTAATAGTGAAGATACGAAAAAAGCCTGATAACCAAACTGACGTAAAAATTAATGAAGTTTTGATTTCTGCTGTTAAAACAGTACCTTAATATAGCGATTTCTTGAGAAAATTTGAATTTTTAGCCATATCATCGTAATTGCGCTCCCTAGCGGTCATCTTAGAAACTTGAAAATAGTTTCAAACAATTTCTTTTGACCGATTTAGTAAAGAAAAAAAAATCCCGAAGCCGTAAGGTCTATGGTTTACATAATATCGTACCTGGCCGACCTTAGTGGGACACCCTGTATACTATTATTCATATAAAAAATACATTAGAAGTATAGAAGCAACTCTGATGAGGTTCCTGGGAATGAGAAAAGCCAGAATGTCTCCACTTCATCCACTGTCCGACAAAATTGACGAGAATATAAATCATCAATGCTGTTGACTGAAGGAGAAATCAAGCTTTTCATTGATCTGATTGACCGATGAAAACAGCGAAGCTGTAAGTACTTCCAGACGCCTGAACACTGATCGAAGGAAAATGAGACTTGACAATCGACAAGTTGACACACCTTGTGGTTGTATCATTTACCGCGCGAAGAAATCCATGAGAAGAACGATCATACAAGATCGACAAGAAAATCCTGAATGGGATTCTCGAATTTGGAATTTGGCATTGGAGAAATAATCATAATAGAGAATTCTCTAGACAATAAGCGAAAAAAAATTCCGCGACGTCAATGAAGCGGAGTTTTTGAATTGGACAGTAAGGCGTTCAGTTTTATAGTTTTGTGAACAGCTAATTCAACTGATTTGTATATAATGCGATTATAGATGTGATTGAAGTATAGAAACCTATATGTAACCCCTATTGTAAAAGCACGATAAAAGATAACTTTATAACAACATGTATTTTGTCTAATTTTTTTTTGTATAAATCGACGTAACATGTTAGCACCCCTGACAACCGACATGATGTTAGAGGGTTTCACGCTTGGTCGCTTTGTCCGGCGTTGTAGTAATTCGGCATGTGGCGCTGCAAGTGTGTTTTGGTGTTTTGTTCCTATTTCCCTAGTAGTAAACTTGTTTCCGCCGGGGAAATTTAAATTATGAGGTACGTATACGGCATTACTTTCAGTAATAAAGTCATTTATTTTATTTTTTTTTTCAGATGAGTTTGAAGCAACAATTTAGATGAACAAAACAATAAAGCAAGCGAGTAAAATGGTAGCGCGGCCTAACGAACCATCCAAAGCGCGTTCTCGAGGAAACAGTCCTTCCAGAGGTACAAGCCCTGCCAGAGACAACAGTATTTCGCGTGTCAATAGTTTCCCAAAACGGTCTCCTTCCTTGAAACGAGTAAATTCTCCTGCAAAAAATGAAAAAACTACATCGGATGGTCGACAACGTCGAGAATCACCAAGTAGGTCCAGAGGCTCGAGTCCGAGCAATAGAAGAAGTGGTTCGTCGCCGGTGCCTAGTCGGGAACAAAGTTTTAGCAATGGAACTTTGATTAGGAGGAGAAGGGAGAGCGAGTAAGTAGGTACAAAAGTTTTCCTGAAATTTTGTTACGGTAGAGATGAGAGATTTGGTCACCTTGCCAAGGGATATTTTGCTTGTCTTAAGGTCATCATCCACTTTCATGTGAAATGTAGAGTCTTCCATACCCGAAAGAAATACCTACCCATGTTCTTATACACTATCAAAAGCTTAATAAGTCTACAAATGCCCAGGAAAAATTATACATTTGTATCACATCAATCTACTAGTTATAGAAAAGTTAAGACGAAAAAGCGACTACTTTTGCTATTTCTTCTATGGTATCTCCTTGTTCATATTATTTAATTTCATAGATTTTTGGTTTTCCTTTTGTCTTTGATAGTCTGCATTACCTACCTACTTATTTTGTTTTGCTCTAAGATGTATCCTAATTTTTTATAGTCTTGTATTGAAGTGTATTTCTATTGCTTTTACTTTAGTTTTGTTTCCATTAGCTGTAGCGTTTCTGAGTTTTTGTTTTTTTTTTTCAGATTTTCTGGTGGTTTAGTAGGTAATTCTAATGGCGCTTTGAATCTTTTCGTTATCCTATTTATGTTTAGTTACCCATCCATTTTGTTTTAATTTCTATTGAAATGTACTTATCTAATATTTTTATGATGGAAAAAAATAGGCGTGATTCAAGATCCTGCCTATCCAACATCACTCCACATTTCCAAATTATATAATCCTCTGAGGTTGTTTTTCGAGATAGAACAAGTAGATAAAGTTGCAAGTTAAAAAAACAATATCGCTATAATATTAAATTTTAAATCTAAATTTGGATGGAGAATGGATATATTTTGCTTTTTTTTCAAAAAACATACCTACTTCATTAATTTTTCATAAAATTGTGTATTTAGGTGGAAAAGTGACACATTCTCGGCCGACGGTGTAAGTTGACGGGTGAGGCGTAGCCGAGGCCGGCAAACACCGAAGGCCGAGAATGTGCTTTTCCACCGAAATACACATACTATTTTTTCTGCGATCGGTTAAATAGCTGTTAAATGTTTGTCTTTTAGTTCCAATTATTCAGCAATACGAGAATCACTTTCCCGGCCTAGGCCGGAAAAGTGTTTCCCGTATTGTTATTCATTGATTCCTTAGCAACTATTGAAACATAATTGAAATACCAGAATATTGAGTTTTGCGACCTGTCAACCGGTCAAAAATTATGACATTTCTTGTCAATCGCAGAAAAATTATTTATCGGTCTCCAATTCACTTCATTCATTTGATCAAATAATAGGATCAAATAATAAACAAAGGAAAAAAAAACAACTTTTCCTGTAGGTAGGTAAAACGTATTTTGATAGTTTATGCCTAAATGATCCTTTTGTCCTTCTTTCAGTAGGTCAAATACTATGATGATTATCATTTTTTTCTGTTTTATAGTGACATGCAATTACATTTTTATAAAGGAATGAGTTAAAACATTTTTTTTTTTCGAAAACATGGTAGTTTAATGGTGATAGATATATCATTTAACACAATCAATACTTTATGTAGTGCAAGTTGCACCATAACTTCCAGTTATTTGCGTATAAATAGCTTTATTTGTTTTTTTTTTCCAGCAAGGAATTTACAATATGTACAGAATAAAATGTAAAATTTAACTCATTTTGAAACTGGAAAGTTGCTGGGGGCATTGATTCATTCTTTGGTCTGTATTTCAAAGTTTCGCTAAGTGAGTTATGACACCTTCAAAAATTTTCAGCTGATGGTTGATTTGGTCAAAAATACATACTATAGACACACACTTTGCAAAAATAGAATTCGTTAAAAGAAGCATGACTTTTTATCATACTCGATGACATTAAAAAAAGTAGGTACAACACTATTAAAATTGTCCGAAGATTCATGTTGACTGTTGACCAACTTAAAACTTTAGGGAAAACAAATTCATTTAAAGTTGGCATCACTCCCGACTACTGTAATGTAGGTACTGAATTCCTGTGATTTTGGCCTAGCAAGGTAATCTTTCACAAATTTAATTTTAAGAGGAAATCCAATATATTCAGACACGATGGGGCACAGGATTTCCGGGACCTAGCCGAAAATCAGGAGTTATAATAAACAATCTGAATAGTTCTAAATCAGTCTATTATCAGAATGTGCGCGGTTTGCTCACCAAATTAAATACATTGACTAGTTCTGTTCCGCTAGTTTCATACCAAGCTCTGGTTTTTACGGAGACTTGGCTCACTGAGGTCTTTTATGATGCTGAAGTGGGCATAGAGAACTATAACGTCTTTAGATGTGATCGTTCAACTTCTTCCAGTGCTGCCACCAGAGGGAGAAGTGTATTGATAGCAATTCAAAAGGGTATTTTTAGCTCAATCTGCGACTCACCCTTCACAACAGTTATTCGTCAGGGTGCACTCGGGGAATAATAAATTATTGCTTGGTGCAGTTTATATACCTACCACCCATAGCTTTTAACATATTTGCGAAAATAGCTTGTAAGACCCAAGAATTGCCTCACAGAATGGACGTCCATTGAAGTTGGAAAAGACTCAACAGCCTCACATTTGTTGGCTCCTGGCTTCACCACATCTTTAGTAATTTCGTGTCCCAAATACTCGACTTTTTCCATGAAAAATTGGCACTTGGAAATCCGAAATGTAAGTCCAGCTTTTTTTCGAACGAATCCAACGCCTCTTCTAAGTTATGCAGTCCCCTTCTATGGTTGAGGCAGGAAGCAGTACGTCATCCATATAGGTTATGGCTTTTCTATATCTTAGATTCCCCAGAACTTTATTGACAGCTCTCTGAAAAACTGCAGGAGCATTACACAATCCAAAAGGCATCCTTAGATATTCAAAATAACCATCTGGTATAGTAAATGCTGTTTGTGAAATTTCTGATTCTTCCATAGGAATTTGATGATAACCACTAGCCAAATCCAAGTTTGTAAAGTATTACCTGCAATTTTTTAGTTTTTCAAGGAATTGGTCTACGCGAGGCAATGGATATTTATCTTCGACAGTTCTTGAATTTAGTTTCCGGTAATTAACGCACATGCGATTTCACCATTTTTCTTTTTAACCAACAGGATAGGACTGGAATATGGTGAATTGGTGAATCCGATTCTCTAACAATTTCATTTTTCAGTAGGTCGTCGGCAATATTTCTTACAACTTTCCGTTCATTGTAAAATAACCGGTATGGTCGATAAACAACCGAACTATTGTCCGTGAGATGTATTGACATTTTGGCTACATCGATTTTACCTAATTCCATAGTACTTTGTGCAAAACAATCCCTAAATTAATTTACGAGGTCTACATTTTTACTTTCGCTTTCGGTCAAATTGAGGTTTATTGATAAATCGTTTTCAGTAAATAAATTAACAGTTTGTGCATGCGTTGATAAAATATAACACTTTCGAAAAGATTTGTCCTCAAAACAGTAAACACAACGAGCTAATATACTTTATTGCGACTTACCTCAATTTCGTTTTGAGAAAGGTTGACGATGGTCACATAACCATCTTCCCCTTTAGTGATGCACTCGTCTAGGTAGTGCTCGTTCCCAGTCACCGGTCGTGGTGACTCGTGGTCCACCACGAATGTACACATCATTGTAGATGGCACCTCGAGTTATGATAGCAACCATAGCCTATGTCCTGTGAGGTATGACTGTGGTGGTCTTTGCCCCCAGTGGTACTTTTTTTCTGGCAACTTCAATAAGTCGCTTAGGTTACCATCAGCGGACAATATTCTTACTTTTTCACCGGAGACTATCGTAAGAACTCCTGGCTTATTTAGGAAGGTCTGTCCAATCATCACAGGAATTTCCTGAGCATCATCTGGAACGATCATCGCTCTAACTTTCCTTTCGATCAGATCGATTTTGATCGAAACTTCTGCTTCTCCTAAAGCATTGATTTCTGAGCCGCCATACCCAGATACACTCAAATTATTGCAGGGAACATAGGTACCACATGTTTAATGCTTCAGAAACAGCTTTTCTTATCAAAACCGCCCCACATCCCGAGTCTACATAAGATTTAGGAGGTTTGCCATTTATGAGGCAGCCAAAAAAATCATTTTTGTTAAGATCAATTTGGCCTTCTGGTTCAATAACTTGATTTTGAACTTTTCTTCCGCAATCTTTTGTCAAATAACCCACCAAACGCTTACAGATATTACATTCCATTCTAGGTTTCGTACAGTTATTTGAAAAATGGCCCTTATCCTTGCAATTATAACAGCGGGGCGTAAATACTTTACTGTACTGGTCATTCTTCAACGATGGTTTAACTGAGTGTCTCGGTTAGAGGTTGTCGGCTGAAATGCAGAAATCGAACCCTCAGACCTTAAAAGGCAGATATATATTCAGCATATAGTTCATCTGGTGTATTATATCTACCAGCTCTTGCTCCTGCTTGGATTGTTGGATCTGTGATACCATCGATCAGACAAGAAACTGCTTTTTTGTCAGTAATGTCACATGCGTTTACTAAATTCAGCTTATTAAAATAATATTGCTCCCATGTTTCAGTCGGTAATTTGAACCTATTCACCAAGCTTCGAAGTAGCGATGCAAAATCGCAGTGTTCTGGAAAGGTTTTTAGTAGAAGAGCTTTTCATTCATCCCAGGTTTTTTGATATGACGACACATTGGTCATACCATTTTCGTGCCAATCCAGTGAGACGGCTTTGCATGTTAAATACCGTTGTTTGTTCGTCCCCGTCCCACTAGTGTCCTATAGCGAATTGTTCAATCCTCTGAATCAATTTGAGACAACTCAGATTTGGATTTCCTGGGGCAAACTCTGGAATGCAATCCGCTCTCAATGGAGCTCTTATAGGCTGTGGTAAATAGGTTGAAGCAATAACCCTTTCTTTGACGAGGCGCTCCACCAGCCTTTCAAGCCTCTCGATTCTAGAATCCGATGACGTTGTAGTTCCAGATCCCGTAGAGCTTCAAGCGTGGTGGATTTGTTGTAGTGTTCTACTTCTTCATTTGGATTTCTTTGATCGCTTTTTATTTT